GACTTGGGGACGCTTGGGGTTCTTAAGTTGATTCTGTATGTAAGTCAGAACTGGCGGTCAGTTTCAGCAGCGGCTGAATCTGGACGCCAGTTCCGACTTACATACAGATTCAACTTAAGAACAAACCTACAGTCCCTATCTTGTACGTAACCCGGGGACTGCCTGTAGAATACTTAGGGGAAAAAAAACAAAATTGTTTTTTCTTCATGGACGTTTGGTGGAGTCAGTTTCCTCACTGGAGCAAAGACCAGGCCATCCCAGCAGCCCACTGACAAGTGGGAATAGTATTTGATTGAGTGGCCAGTTCTAGATGCATGTTGGGATCTTCTCAGGAAAGCAGCTACAGAGAATGCTGTCCCCTACAAAGCTCTGGCACTAAACTACACTACGTCACTCATTTAATATTGTTACATGGGCAATGCAGCTCTTCTGTTTCTTACAATGCTGAGATCATTATTAAAAGATGATTGTAGTGTCCATTTCAACTTTTCAAACCCACGTATGTAGTCCAAATCAGACATAATTTTTGTTTTCTTTTTTTTCATATATGCTGCTGACCACTTTGAAACTTTAAGTACTTCTCTTTAAATTTTTCCACCCATTGTGGGGGGGTTTTCCAGATAGATGTAATCTAACCTGTGTTTTTGGAAAATTATATTGTTCATTTGTTTATATACCGTTGGTGTTTATTGAAAGTAGGCATTCCTATTAAAAATAATGAAATGTTCCATCATAGAAATATAAAAGCTGTCCTGCTGGTTGATGGCAGTACTAGGAATGTAGCGTTTCTGTAAAGCAGGAAAGAACTGCTTCTGAGATCCAGCAGGGTAAAATGCATGGTTTATACATGTACTCTTTTTGACAGACCTATTTTACTAGCCTTTGTTTTTATGGATTAACAATTTCTAAAACAGATTTATTGGGTTTTAAACAATGTAGTAATGAGAGAAAACTGACTCAGAACATTTCTTCTATTTTTGTTTTCTCTGATTTCATAGGCTGTGTCAATGGTCCTTCATCTATGTCCATAGAAAATGATGGGTCCAGTGCAGGATCATCACCAAGTATAACTCCAAATGCTCCTTCAGAACAGAGCCCTGAGGGGGCAACAGCTGGAACAACAGTGCCTGCATCTTCTGGTTTGGCTACACCTCCAATATCCAGACAAGTGCAGTCAGTAAATCCTCCATCTCAGCCACCCAGTACAGTCAGCCAAGGTCCTCTTCCACCTGGGTAGGAATTCAGTGCTATTGTACATTTTAGTTCTGTTGTATCACATATTGCAAACATGCATAGCTTCTGCATTTTGCAGAAAGGCTAGCTGCTTGGTTGGTTTGGTTTTCAGGCATAGGCGATGCAAGTAAGAGATTACATTTGTTGAGATTTCTGTTCTCTTTGGGTAACATGCCGCAAATTGTTGAGTTGTAAAAAACCCTTTTATTCATCTGGCAACCTTCGTCTTCAATTCATGTAGTAAGATCTTGGTGAGTTAACATTGTTATTTTGAGGAAAGTAATTATTTCTTGGTGTAATCAGTTTATAGAACCCGTCCTCAAATCCTTCATTCCAAAGAGCCCAGTTCCTGTGTAGCTGTGATCCTACACAGTCTGCTGTTGTAGAATGTGCTAGAGAATCAAATCCTCATCAAAGCAATTTTTTCAGAACTGCGTGTCTAAACTTCAGGATTGTGAAGAAAACCTTTTGACTGTAACCAGTGTAATTTATGAAGTATTGCCTGTCTTAGTCTGCAGGCATCCTTAAACTGTAGCTCTAAGGGGTGTGAACTGCTTCATTCATAATACTTGCATGTAAACGCGGAAATCAAATGACAGTATTGGAAATGTCAATTTGGTCTATTTCACTCTTGATAATTTCAGCAGAAACATCAAGCTAATGTACTTATTCCCCCATTTAAGATTGTCTGAGTCTTTAGATCAGGGCTACTCAACACGCGGCCCATGGCCTGCATGCCGCCCACAGCCCGTTTGTTTGTGGCTCGTGGTGTGCTTTGGGTTTACGTGAGGCTCAACACACAGCCCGCAGATGGGAGCCAAACCAAAAAAGTAGTCCTCAATATAATAGTCTTCTGTTGATATGTGTTTTAGTACTTAAATTCCTGGATTGTCATGGCTCATTAAAAGTGCTGTCATATGAGTGGAAATTGGGTAAATACTGCATTTCATTAATATCAGCAGAACTGATATTAAATGGGGCCTACATGTTGTGTAGTCTTGCCTTAATCATCGTATTCATGCCCATCAGTGTGAAAGAAGCTATTTGCATATAAATTTGCATATATATGCAACCACACTTAAGTTTTGGCCACGAAAGCTTCTGCTGCAATACATGTGTAAGTCTATAAGGTGCCACAGGACTTCTTGTCGCTTTTGCAGATCCAAACTAACACGGCTACCCCTCTGATACTTCACACTTAAGTTGCAGCACTCGGCAGGTGCTGTGAGTATCATTGTGACCCCCGGGGAGTCCAAAGTTGAGTAGCCCTGCTTTAGATGGTAGAAGTCTCAAATGTTGTGTTGTGTATTTTGCTACTAAACCTTCAGTTACCCACTGACAGCTTCTGTGATTTTGATATACATTCTCTGCAAAAAATCTGTGGCAAACTGAACATTTAGAAACGTAATAAAATTGAATTTAATGACAAAAACTGTAACACACGGGTGCTGCTGTTCTGATTGTTGTTCATTTTAAAATTTAATTAAATAAAACCCTCAATTTTTTAATTTACCTGTTGCCACAAAATTTACATCCAGTTGGCCAAATAGTAAACAGGGTCTTGTGTATATCTTTTATTGTATCAAAATGATAGGAGTGTTGGTGCTAGGATACTGTTGAGACCAGCTCCAGTTTAAGGAATTGAGATTCCTAAGATGTTTTCTCTTCAGGTCTCATTGCACGCAGTGCTTTTCTTAGTCGTTAGGCTGCTGTCTAAGAAGTGCCATTTTACTAAATTCCCAATCCCCAAAGTTCTTTTCTAGCATTTCATAAGTGAGGATTTCATGGAATTTCACTCTGTTGCCAGTAGAGTAAAACCTTTAGTAGGCATTTTGCCTTGTCCCAGAGTCGCATAAAATAGTAGGGGGAAAGGGGAACAAATAAGTAGGAGAGGATTTGAAGAAATGTTTTAATCTCTGGGCATGTAACTCTTGGAAAGACTAAACTCCATTTTGGTTCCCCAAACTGGGGGTAAGTTGCCAAGAAATGTTTGTGATCCTGCCTCTTTGTTCCTCTCCTTGCCCTACCTGTGACAGCTCTTTGTCTTTCTCTCACCTCCCTACTCAACCTCTACCAGACAGCAGACTGTCATATGCTTCTACTCGCATGCATTTACGTATCTGGCAGCTTCCTCTTCATCTCCATACTGGGAAGTGTCCCTGTTTGGTTTGTTCTCCTAAGCTACCCACCTATTGCCACTCTTCAGCATGAACCGAATGGGAGAGCCAGTTGGGAAAGGTGGGCAGGTTTCAAGCCAAAGAAGATGCAGGGTTGGACAGACTTCACAGAGGGTTCCCTAGAGCCTTTAGCCACAGCTACACCCTTTTTTCAGGCTTCACCATAGTCCAAGGTAACTAGCCAGTCCTGAAGACTAGATGGTAACATAGGGTCAAAAAATATTTAGCCAAGAATTGTAGTTTTTGAATAATTTCCATTTGAGGTATGCATGCACCCCAGGTGCCTTTGACCAGAGACTTTTGGTAGTTGTATCTAGTCATCCTGCGCATATGGCTTACATAACCTTATGCCCAGCACTAAGGATATAGAGCTGCCTGACTGAACCTCCCTCAATTCCGTCTCAGCCACCTCAGCCTAAGACTGTCTAGCATACCTGCTTCTACTGCTCAAAGTTTAGCTTTAGAATCTTCTCGTTTTTATTTAATGTCGTTATTTACTTCTAGTTTAACTTATGCTTACACTTTATTTTGTGTGAAGTTTGTTTCATGCTGATTTTACCCCTCAGGGTTCATCTCCAGGGGATTTTAGGGCCTCCAGGATTTAAGTGCTACCTTGCCTCCTGGGAATTTGTTGGTTATTCTTGGTGCATTTGCCGTCGCTCTCCCCACAAAGTGTAGTATAGTCCCTATACATTAGCGTCCAAGTGAGCACATTGCTTTGTCAGTCTCTGCACTATATTCACCCAGGCCGTTGCAGAATATTCCATCAAAGGGTGTATTTAGGAAGGTTAGTGGGAAGACTCATAAGAGGACTCTTTGCTACTTGGTACCTAAACAGTTCACACAGGCTCACTTGGTACTGATAAAGAAACAGGCCTCTCATGCTGTTTTGGCATCCCCATAGCAGTCATTGTCTTTGGTACTGGCATAGTTTCAGCCCCTGGCACTCACTGTGGAACCTTGCTTCTTTTCAGCACAGATCTACATCAATTCGTATGGGGGATTAAGGTCTCTTGCTGTACCAAAGCAGTTAAGTTATGGAGCTCTGATATATAGCCACCCACGTCTTTGTTTCAGCCTCTTAGCTTCCAGGCATACAAAACAGTTAAACATTCACATCCCTAATCCCAGCAAACATTTCTTCTGTGGTTATGAATGGATACTGGACTTGGTGATTCTCAGTCATGTTTTTCTGGTGCGGGCACTTCAAGACCTGTATGCGATCACCACCAATGGGAAATACAAAAAGCTCTGCTTGAGAGAAAGCTTTGACCATCACTCCTTCAGGGATGCCTCCCTTCTTCCTTAGAGAAGAGGTCTCCGCTGTGTATTTCCTCCCATGCCACTGATCTTCAGGGTGTTGAACAGATGAGAGAGAGCCAATGTTATTGACCAATGTGGGTAATATCATTTTGGTTCTTGTCCAACGTGCAGTCTTCTGGCCATTCCCCAACTGCTGTCTCTGGACTCTGGTCTGATTCTTCATTCCAGCCTGAAGATTCCTTGTCTCAGAGCTTGATGGTTTCCAGATATAGAGATTTTCTGTTCTGCCAAGGTGTGACACGTACTATTTAAATAGCGAAAAAATACCCATATGAAGGTGTTATCTTCAGAAACAGAAGAGATTTCATCACAGCTTTCTCCTGTTCACTCTCCCCTCTCACTGTCCTTGGTTTATCTGTTGAAATTAAGAAACTTGGGACTCTCTCTTTCAGTTCTGTCTAGGTTACTTTAGTATCTTTAATAATCTTTTTTTTTCTTCAACTGAGGAATTCTCCATGTTCACTCATCCCTCAAAGGTAAAATTCTTTAAAGAATGGGCACACCCTTTCCCTCCAGTTAGGGAATCTACTTTGGTATGGTGATAGAAATGTAGCCGTGTTAGTCTGGTGTAGAACCAGAACAATCCATTAAGATAAACTATACCAGACTAACACAGCTACATTTCTATCACTGTTCTACATGCAAGGCTCTACATTTAGCTGTTTGGAATGGAAATCCATCAACAATATGAAAAAACTTGCACAGATACAGACATCATCTTTCTATCCAAGTGCAAGAAGATGGACATTGTACTTTGGTATGGTATCTAAACTTGCTCAGTGATTATCTCACGAAAAACCCCTTTTGATCCAGTGGCTACCTGTTCTCTTCTTCACCTGACATTAAAGTGCCATTCTTGTTGGCCATTGTTTCTGCCTGAAGAGTTGAGGAAATGGGAGCTTTAATAGTCCTCCATCTCACAGTTTTTGTCTCAGAGTGAAATTGGACTGATCAGAACGCTACTTATCCATACCTTGGATCTCAGAAGGACATTAGTCTCCTATCTGGACAGAGCCAAACCATTTAGAGAGTCTCCTAGACTGTCTCATTGGTGACTGATCCAATATATATAGGGGTCATAGTGGACAATAAGCTAAATATGAGTCAACAGTGTGACACTATTGCAAAAAAAAAAAGCAAACCTCATTCTGGGAGTGTTGTGAGAAAGACACAAAAAGTAATTCTTTCCCTCTACTGTGTGCTGATTAAGCCACAACTGGAGTACTGTGTCCAGTTCTGGGCACCACATTTCAGGAAAGATGTGGAGAAATTGGCGAAGGTCCAAAGAAGAGCAATTAAAATGATTAAAGGTCTAGAAAATATGACCCATGAGGGAAGACTGAAAGAATTTGGGCTTTCTTAGTTTGGAAAAGAGAAGACTGAGAGGGGACATAACAGCTTTCAAATACCTGAAAGGGTGTTACAAAGAGGAGGGAGAAAAATTATCCTCCTTAGCCTCTTGTGATAGGACAAGCAACATCGGGCTTATATTGCCGAAAGGGAAGTTTAGGTTGGACTTTAGGAAAAAATTCCAAACTATCAAGGTGACTAAGCACTGGTATAAATTGCTGAAAGTGGTTTTGGAATCTCCATCATTGGAGATATTTAAGAGCAGGTTAGACAGACATCTGTCATGGATGATCTAGATGATGCTTGGTTCTGCCATGAGGGAAGGGGACAGGTCCTGATGGTATCTGATTCTATCTCCCTTTGTGGCATTAGTCATATACACTGGAAATCTGTAAGGCTTCAACCAGGAGCTTTCTGAAAATTATGTGATGCCTTATGCTTCTAGATCTGATGTTGAAGTTGGTAATGTAGTTTTATTTTCAGTGTTCAATTCATCTCCAAAACTTCCTCCTCCTGATGAGGATACTGCTTGGAAGTCATCTGATGTGGCGCACCCAGTGGGATGTTACTAGAGGAGGAGGAGGAGCGGTTGCTCATCTTGTACAGTAACTGGAGTTGAAGATGTATGTCGCTATGGGTGCTCCACTACCTACTCTCCTTACTCTTGTTTTTAGTGTTTCCTTCATGGGACTGTGCGGTGGCAATGGGCCCGAAATGGTTCACCCATAAGCAGCCCTGTATTTTTTTGCCAAAGAGCTTGAGGCTGTATAAAGTGTGTACAGGCTGAACTGGTTCTGCTATTGAGAATCTCTGATCAAAGGCACACTGGATGTACGTATCGCCAGTGGAGTATCTAAAGAGACACACATCTCGAAGAACTCCATTTACTCCACAAGCCGAGTACCCTTTCCTTTTTTTATTTTTAGATGGGAGCAAAGAGTGGACCAGCATGGCCGAGTATACTATGTAGATCACGTTGAAAAAAGGACAACGTGGGATCGGCCGGAACCTCTTCCTCCAGGGTGAGTCTGTAGAAGAAGATTTAAATAGTTGTTAGCTCAAGTTAATTAGTAAACTAACACTGTTTAAAAATACCCTGGCTATTACACAAACACTTATTCTACCGACACCCACATTTGTGGTTTTTCCTAGGCTAAGCGCTAAAGTAAATAACAAACACTACTGCAGTGTTTCTCAACCTTTTTTTTATAAAGTACCTCTTTTACTTACGCATGCACACGCACGCACACACACAAAGTATCCTCAGGACCTACAGTTTTCAGACATGCACAATTTTTTTCTGCTATTGCAACACATTTGTTTAAACAACTTACTCATAGTTGGGTGGGCGATTATTATTTTTGTACTTTACACCCAAAAATTTAAAGCACTGTAAAACTTAAAACAAATATTTAGTTTTCTCCAAATTTCAGTTGTCGATGTACCCCCCCAGACTTCTTTTGAGTACCCCTAAGGATACTCATAGCACTGGTGGAGAAACACTGCACTAATGGGCTGTCCAGACTAGCAGGTATAAATGTTTGCTAGCTTCAGTTAAAAAAACTGTACTGTAGACAAACCTCAGGAAACTTTATGACCCAATTAAGAGCTTATATATGCTTCTTTGGACCATCTCTATCGCTCTCCAAGCTGCACATGCTAGTGCCTTGGAGATGACACTTGCCTATTTTTTTCTCTCCTACTCTCTGCCAAAGATTTTTTTTTCTTAACATCTCTATAGTGTGTCTGTTGTGTAGGGTTGTGGGACAAGGAATAGGAAAAATAGGAGTGGAGCAGTTAAGTCAGACACCAATCAGCCGTGTCTGCTTATAAAGAATAAGAGTACTCAAGATCAGTCATGGTAATAAAAAAGAACCAAATTTTTAGTCTTGCTCTGTGTCCTTTTCCTGGTTTTCTGGGAATATTTGCATTTTTAACCCCCCTCCCCCCCCCAAAAAAAATCCTTCACACTTGAGTCATGTCATATATTCTCTCACTCATTTTTGTTACACAAGAAAATGTAAATCTGCCAAAAGAACTGAATCTCAAAGGGGAAAATACCCCTGGGCCCCATAGAGACACCAACCTGTTGGTCTAAGTTTGACAGTTTAACTCTCTGCACTACATCAGCGTATTGATAAATCAGCGGGTATTGATAAATATGTGTGTTGCACCAGACCTTGCTCAATAACTGACCACTGCTCAGTTGAATTTTTTGGTGAATGTCATTTACTTCGAGTGGATATGAAGTGGAAACCAAGTCACATGTGAGCATGCTTTTGGATTTCTTAGACTAGATAGAAGTGTGCTGGGAGGAGCATGAGTGTCTCATGTTTTGCAGTCAGAGCTGACAATATTACTTTAATGTTTTTGGAAAGAGGCCAGTAGACTGCACTTACTTCATGCATCCATCTCACCCCTCAGATATAACTGTTGTCTAATATCAATAATGACTTCTCTACAGCCAGCCAGATGTGTAAAGCGGCTCTTCAACACCATTTAAAAACACTGCAAGTGACCGACTTGATGGTGTTGTGGAACATAGTGAAAATAATTCTCTCATTTTAGATAGCAGTTTTCTCTAGCTTTTTAGACTGTTTCAGTAGGAACTGTAATAGAGGGTACGTGCTGCTGACCGCACTGAACATTTCATTTAACAAAACTTCATATCCAATTCCACATTTATGTCCTGCTTGCCCTGATGCTTATTTGACTCTAAAATGGTTCTATTGAGATGCTTTGTTTGCATTGTTTAGCTGGGAGCGCCGAGTTGACAACATGGGGAGAATTTATTATGTCGACCATTTCACTCGAACGACAACATGGCAGCGGCCAACATTGGAATCTGTTCGGAATTATGAGCAATGGCAACTTCAACGGAGTCAGCTTCAAGGAGCTATGCAACAGTTTAATCAGAGGTTCATATATGGGGTGAGAAGTCTGTTCTGATTCAGAGAACAAAAATTTATTATGAAGAAGCATTGCCATTCTCAAACTCTAGCTATCTACCTCCCCTGCAAATAGATCTCTGGATGTGAGCGCAGAGGATATGTACAAATGGTAGCCTTAATTTATTTCCTTTTGTTGTTAAGTAAGGGACAGCTATAACCAACAACAGTATTGTTTGCTGACTTTGTATGGCAAAGTACGTTGTATGAGGTACTGAGAGAGGTCAAAGTGGTGAGAAAATTGTTCGCAACGAGGTGTAAGTTAGATGTCATGGCCACCTAGCAAACACAGTGGCTGTTTATGCTGGTGATGTTTGGAGGCTTGTTCACGTTAACTCTATTTGTATTCAGTCCTCGTGAATTCTAAATCTTAGTCACTTGACTACATACTGCCTTTTATTGGTTGGCCAAGATTAGTATGGGAAGTTTGCCCAAAGGAAGCATTTGAGGAATTTTATGCAGGTAAAATGCAATTACAGAATGTGAATGGTAGGAAAACATGGGGAGTTAAAGCAATCCAAAATTCACCAAATACTAGTGAATGGTAGACTTTGACTGGACATCTTGATACGCTGGTTGCAGTTAGTTTAGCAAGACAGGTGATGTAGGTTCTTAGTTGTACTCACACACAACAGAAAAACTTACTACATGTATGATGGGGAGCCATGTTCAACTACAAGAACAGAACAGTGTGTTCCCTGATTGTGGTAGGTTTTTATCTTTTAGATTCTGAGGCTATGTCTATACTAGCACTTTAGTCTGTTTAACTTGTATTGCTTGGGGGTGTGAAAAAACCACACCCATGCCAGCAGAAGTGCCAGCGTGAACAGCGTTGTGTGGGTAGGAGAGCTTCTCCCACCAACATAGTTACTGCTCCTCATGGAGGTAGTTTTATTATGTCAATGGGAGAAGCTGATTTAGAGCAGCTACATGAATGACCTTACAGCTGTGTCTCTGTAAGCTCACTAGTGTAGACATCGCCTTGAGACTGGTTTCCCTTCTGTGTAGGGTGAGGCACTTTCCAAAGAACAAAGTTTAATATTATTCTTTGAGGAGTGTCATTGTGGGTGCCCCATGTTAGGTGGGTTAGTGTCTTGTGCTTCTAATCAGATATTTGTAGTGCACAGTATTCTGGGTGGTGGTATACCTGCAGTCTCTGCCTTGTGCCAGTATGAGCAGTAAACTTTTGTGCGCTGTCAACCATTCCCGAGTTCCTTCTCCTTAGGCTTAGATTAGAACACAGCAGATATGTTCACTTTCCTGTTTATCTACCTTGTTTTTTCCCTTTGTCACTCCGTACCAGTAGCACCAACCACCTTGACCGAGAGGCGTCGGCGTCAGGAACATCCAGTACACAAATATCCTGAGGGGCGAAGGAATTACTAGACCCTAGCTCTGGTGCGTGAGCCGAGAAACTATCCTCCAGCTCAGCATCCACAGCACTGATCAAGCTGGCACTAATCTCTTCTAAAGTGGCGCCCCCTGCCTTGTGCGCACGGACTCAAATAACTTTGGCACTGGAGGTTCAAACTCACATGCACACCCCGGCACCGACCTGTATAATACAGCCACCACTAACTGTGCATGTGGAGTTGGCCTTAACATCATATCAGGACGCCACTTTTTGGTCCTGGTGACGCCTAGGCTGCCTGGGCCCATCTGATCACAACACCAGCCAGCTGTGCTGCACCATTCCTTGCAGGTGATGAAGATGAGTAGAAGATGTTGAGTGTGAATCGTCACTCTTCCCCAAACAGCTTCTCCTACCGTCATGTACGAACATTGCCCTTGAAGCCATTTCTCCTGATACCAGCGCTTCCTACTTGGCTATAATCTCTGGGCACATTACAGAGCCCAAACCCCAGGCTCAAGACCACAACTCCTCCTACCACCTAACCCCCTTCACCCTGCACTCCACCCCGGTTGGAACCACAGGAGCACTTAGACGAACTGGAGTATGTCTCTGAAGGAGATGTTCTGCTCCTCATGTACATATCCTCCCCAGATGAAATGATAATGCCTCCCTTACTCACTGCTGGAGATTACTGTAAGTGATTCCAGGACCTCTTCAAGAGAGTGGCTCAATGCAGCAATCATGGATCCAGCAAAGGTGCTATGGCAAACTCCTGCCACCATTCTACCTTCCTCAAAACGGGTGGACCGAAAATATTTACCAGCCAAGGGAGTGGATTTCTTTTTCACCGACCCAATTCCCAGCTCTTTAGTGAAGGAGGATTGGAAACAACTAAACCTCTTCGGACAAAAATCCTACTCATCAGCTTCTCTCCAATTTTGCATTGCCAATTACTCCACACTACCGACAAAATATACTTGTAGCTTGTTAAATAAAATGAAGACCTTTATTGAACAATTTCCAGAAGATGTGTGTGAACAATACAGGGCAAAATATCACAGAGAACGCTCATTGCAAAAACACCATTGCAGGCTTGCCTCGACTCTGCAGATATAGTCACCTGATCCCTTACCACAGCTGTTATATACCACACCTCCTGATTTCATCTTTCTAGCTTCCTTAATGAGGTACAAAATATAGTTGAGGACCTCCCTTCTATAGCTTGTTATAGGAGGAGATAGATCATCTGTTACAACTAGGTCAATGAGCAGGGCTTGACAAATCCCCTTATCTACTCGCCCATGGCAAGTAGATTTCAGGCGGTCGTCCCGTTCACCAGCGGTTAGTGCATGCGCAGTGCGGGTCTCGTGCATGCGCGGTGCAGGGCTGGCAAGTGGTTTTTCCCGCTATTGTCGAGCCCTGTCAATGAGGAATTACCATCTCAACATAGGGGAACAGGGTTGTATTCCTGCTACTTTCTCAGACGAGGGTTGGAAATCCATTCTGGACTTGCACCAGCTCAACAAATTTCTACATCATCAATACTTCAGAACGGTAGCATTGACAACTATAATTCCAGCCTTACAAATTGGATATTGGCTGTCGTCCCTTGACCTTCAGGGTGCATATTTTCATATTACTGTCCATCTGGTGCTATGGAGATTTTTCCACTTCACACTGGACAGTAGTTGCTACCAATATTGACTACTATCCTTTGGTCTAGCCACAGCACCATGAGTCTTATCAGAAGTCTTTGTGGACAATTGCCTGGTAGCAGCATTGTCCCTAAAGGAGGCAATAAAAGCCACCAACCTCACATTCAAACTACTTGGTTCCATAGGTTTCCATATGAACTACCAGAAACCTTATCTCTCACCAGCCCAACAGCTAGAATTCATCAGGGCTCATCTCAGCTGCATACAAACCAAAGCAAAGCTGCTTCAGTTGTGTTTTCACGCCCTAACGTAACCGACCTAATAATGGCAATTCTACAGAGTCCACAGGTAACAGCCAGACAGTGTCTCTGACTTCTTGGGAATATGTCCACAACCATATTTGTAGTCAGACATTCCAGACTGCACATGTGACGCCTGCAGTGATGGCTCCAGAACGCGTTCAAACCCCACAAACAGCTGTTGCACAAATTACTGAACACACCCAACACAATCAAGCTCTCCCTTCAGTGATGGCATCAATCAGTAAATGTATGTACAGGGATCCCGTTCCAACAACAAAGCACTTCAGTCATGCTCAGTATGGACACATCTCTTGAAGGCTGGGGGGCTCACATCAGACCACTTGATCCGAGGTCAAAAGCAGCAAAAACATCTGTTCCCATCAGTGTCCTAGAGCTTCAAGGTGAGACAAACATGCAAATGCTTTCTCCCATTACTGCGCCACAGAGTTGTCAAAGTCCTCTCAGACACGTGGTGTGCATGCCTATCTACAGAAGCCATGCACCTATGGCAGTGGTCATAGACATTTCAGCAGCTTTCCTCCCCGGAAGTGGAATACAATTGTGGAGCACCTCAGCAGACATTTCCACCAAAACTATGAATGGGTGATGGGCTCCCATGTACTGAATACAGTGAGGATATCCAGCAATAGATCTCTTCGTGAGAGTTGCCATCAAAATGTCCAAAATACTGCTCTTGAGAAGGACTGGGACGCCACTCGCTGTGGGGTGCCTTCCTCATCGTATGGGGCTCAACGCTCCTTTGTGCCTTTCCTCCCATCCCACTGATCAACCAAGTTCTGCCCAAAATCAGACACGATGGGGCTTGCGTTCTATTAATAGCAGCTGAGTGGCCCAGACAAACCTGGCTCCCCCTACCTGCCTCAGCTGTCAGTGGCTCCCCCATTATCTCTGCCACAAATTCCTTACCTTCTGACCCAGAATTCAGGAGGCATCTCAATCCATATGTAACAGGCCTTTCGGCCTACCCTCGATATCCGTAGAGGACTGGCATTTTACCTAGAGATAACAAAGATATTTAAGAAATCACCACACCTCTTTCTGTCTACCACTGAATGATCAAAGTGGAAGCAGTATTCAAAGAGACTCTTCAAATGGATTTCACAATGTAGCCAGTTCTGCTACTAACGGAAAAGTGTTCCAGCTCCCACACAGTGTGCCTGTGCTCAACCAGAACCATTCCCACATCATGGGTCTTAACAGTGTTCCCATTGCAGACATTTGCAGAGCAGCTACTGGGACCTCAGTTCACACATTTACTAAGCACTAGTCACTAGAACAACCTTCCTGAGCATAGTTTGACTGTCCATGTTAGCTATGGCCCAGAGACCGATCGCGCAGCCCTGCCTTCCACAAGATACCGCTCCATAGTCACCTAACATGAAGCCCACAGGGACACTCCTCAAGGAAGAAGAGAGCGTTACTTCACCTGGTGCAGTACCTGAGGTTCTATGAGATGGTTGTCCCTGTTGGTGCTCCATGACCCTCCCTTCTCCCCTCTGCTTTGGATCAGCATGGGGCTATCCCGCGTAGAGAAAGAACAAAGGAACAGTTGACGGCATGCAGTGATTAACCACTTGCACAGGTGCGAGGCAGGTACTATGTGTGTGCTGCCATCCTGGGTACTGCTGCTACAAATCTCCCAACTATAAGCACCAGGCACCAACACACCTAACATGAAGCAGTCACAAGGACAGCCAACTCAACCTGAATTACTGCACTAGGTGAATAACCCCCTCTTTAATCCCCTGACATTGCAGTTACAATAAACTATGCTAATTGCTGCAAAATATGTTAACACTACTCTAGGTTCAGGCAGGCAAAGAGAAGTAAAGAGCCCAAATGAATCCTCAGTTTGTAATAAATCTAGGACTGTTCTGTGGAAAAAATCCTTTGCATAGGGAGGCCCTATGTGGCACTAGCAATAATGCATTTGCTTTAGTGATGTGTGGCTAAATTAGAAGTATGGAAGCAAATTGGTGGTGGGTGGTTATTACTAATGCACCTTTTTTGTGTGTGATCTGCAGAACCAAGATATTACTTCTACTCAGAACACAGAGTTTGATCCTCTTGGCCCCTTGCCACATGGATGGGGTAAGTCTTGTTCAAATGGTGTTCTATAACAACCTAAATGGCGTACTTCTGCCAGGTTATTTTTCCAAATGCTTTTGGTAGTATTTCACTTTTCTTCCTTTTAGTTACATCTGAATTTAAGTTCCCTTTTTATTAAATCTAATCAAAAGTACTGTTTAAGGACTAGCTCCTAATACTGTAAATATGCAGTTCCAAAAATTGATTTTAAAAGTACTCAATATTATTCTATTTCTTTTGAAGTTGAAGCTGACTTTTTTAAATGTCCTTATCACATCATGGACTTCTTCCTGCTGCTGTTACTATCTTAACCATTTTAGAGATGCAGGTTGTTTTGTATTGCTTCTGGTAGAGCGCCAGTGGTTGGGAAGTTCTTGTTGGGTCTTGACAGCATCTTTATAGATCTGCCAACTGAGCCCCTTTGTGAAAAATATTTTCACCATAATTGCAGCAGTCCACGTCATTGCATTATTTTGTTTGAAAGATAATATAAAGTCCTTGTCTACACAATTGCTTTGTTATAGCTATAGTGGAACCGACAAAGTGCCCACGTGAAAGTGCAGATGAGGTGACCGAAATTCTTCTTCCCAGCTGACATTGCTATGCTGACAGAAGTACTCTTCTTTTAGTATATTTGTGTCTACACCAGCAATATTGCTGGCATTGTTTTGTTGGGGTCTGGTTTTTTTCCCCTCCAGACTCCTAAATGATAGGCCTGTGCTGGCAAAATTGTGTAGTGTAGACTAAGCTGTGTATTCAGGTGGTGTGGAAAAAATAAGATGGTAATCAGAATGATGTAATTTTAAAGTGGAATATCTTTCCTTGGCAGAGGTAGGCATGGATTATTTATTACATTAAACAGTTGCAAGTCAAACTTTTCAAAAGTTTCAAACATTATTGTTTGGGCTTCTAGATTTGAATGTATGCAAAGTATCAGTGCATTAAACTGTCAGACCAGGCCCAAATGATGCCTTATTCTATAGGTGTGAAATCTCAAAGAACACTGCTCGTTAGTTTATCCCCCCCCCTCAAATTTCCATGTATAGTAGAATTCTGCTGCTTGTATAACCTCCTTTCGAACATGTCTCTGTAGGTAGAAAGGGGAACACAAATGCTGGTTACATGCCATGGCCTGATTTCAGAGCTTTGTGTTTCTCTTGCAGCAACTAAAACACAGTGAAGAGATGCATATGCTGTGCTTATCTAATGTCAAATTGCAGGAGACTGAATCGTAGTGGTGAAATGAAGGAGAAATGGATTTTCAGCAGCATATGTGTAGAAATGTGTACATATTTCCCTAAACCAATTTTAACTGTGAGATAAACATCCATATTTATTTACATGGGATGTAAACATTTTTCTTTTACTGAAGTTTGGCGCATATTTTCACATTCATGTGCTGCTGCACTTCCTTAGTATTTGTATTCACGGTTGGTGTACCTCTGCATATTTCTCTTTTTTTTTTTTTCAATTAACTAGTTGTATTTGAGTGCCCATGGCAATAACCCAGGCAGTTGGGATTTCTAATAGCTCAATATGGAATGTGGCTTTTCTGTGAAGAAAATTGCTTCAGTTTTTTCCTTCTCTGACTAAATAGGAATAGGAAAATAAATTGTATAATAAATAACTGCACACACATAGATGTTTTAAGTGCAGTTTTTGATAGATGGAAGGCTCAGATTGATTTAACATAAAAAGGTCAGCATAGCCATTTTAATTTTTAAACATGGAAAAATATCTGGATGAGCATTTCAGAACAGCCAGCAAAAGTAAGAAACATTCTAATTAAGATGAAATGCAAATCTTGTTCTTTCATGATAAGTTATCTTCCTTTGGGCATCTGCTGAACAAATCTGTTTTAAAACAGTAGGAGGGGAAAAAGCTTTTCCAGTTCTAGTATTGTTATCGTTGGGATAGTAAATGCGTTAGGCTGCTCCCCATAAACCCCAATTGGGAATGGGGCCCCATTTTGTTAGGTGTTGTACAAGCACACACAAGAGACAAGTAATCTAAAGACTATCAAATGAACACTCTGAGTGTTGCTTTGCATTGAGGTTAGGTTACAATATATTCAAAACAGTCCACTAGTACTTAATTAAAGTAGACTTCTGGTGCTAAAAAACTGGTAAGAAACAATGTGTTTGGAGAGTGAATGATGAAGAATCAGTTATGTTATGTTTGAGATGAGGTACTGAGAGAACCTAAAGAAAACAGGCGCTGCCACAAGATGTTCAACTAATTGGTTATTTTAAGTGTGAGAAGTAAATTTGCCAGAACTGAGATGTCTTCACTTTTTATTTCTCCTCAGAAAAGAGAACTGACAGCAATGGCAGAGTGTATTTTGTCAATCACAACACACGTATCACACAATGGGAAGATCCCAGAAATCAGGGGTAAGAATTTTAACTCAGTTAAAATGGATTTTGAATATAAATGTTGTAGTTTTATTATTTTAGTGAGAGAGAGAAGTGAGGGGCATTTCTGACAACTTAAGTTTGGATTGGACCTTGCTATCCTCTACTGGCTTTTCAGACTAGACTCAATTAAAACGTACAAAGGGATACAGAACTAAAGCAGAAATTATTAAAAGGAACACCGCCTGCATAACAGGAAAACAGTTAGAAAAATCTCAGCTAATTGCAAAACCTCATTGCAAACATTTTCCCCTCCCAACAGGAAATGTTTCCATTAATGGAAAAAATCAAATGGAAATATCCTTTTAAGCAGCCTTTTCCTTTGTG